TATCTTTATTGATTTCAGAAAGAGGGAGAGGGAGAGAGAAAGGTAGAAACATCAATAATGAGAGAGTCATTGATCGGCCGCCTCCTGCACGCCTCCAACTAGGGATCGAGCCTGCAACCTGAGCATGAGCCCTGATCTGGAATCGAACCCCGATCGCCTGGAAGCTAGGTCGACCGTCAGCCGCTGAGCCATGCTGGGCGGGCCAAGCCATAATTCTTTATGGGTCTTCTACCTGCTTGTCATCTTATGTACATTAAGAAGCTTTTCTTCCTTCAGCAATTCCACCCACCATTGATCTCTTCTTTTCAATGCCTCCAACATCTACTAACTTCATTTTGTAACTATCACCGTAAAAGCAAGGTTATATATCCATCTTCACTGAAGCCAGGTTTTTAGAGGCTGAAATGTATTAGGTAATGTTGACCTGGTTTGGAAAATACATATAATGCTAAAGGATGTAAAAGCTCTAATCTAACCACTTTTAATCTTCATTGGTGGCATATGCACGTACATCATATAAATATTTTTAATAGAAATGAGTTTATTTTGTAACATTGTTTCATGACCCTTTTTTCACTTATGTATAATAATATAAACATCTACATTTTTATAGCATAATTTAATTGCTGCATAGCTTGCTGTATATAGATATAACACAATTTATATCATATTTAGCATATATACACACACACACACACACACACACAAAGAGAGAGAGGGGGGCTAAGAGAAGAGAATATACATTTATTTTTGCCTGCATGTACAAACATAATTACTACTTTAATCATCTATGCAGGTAAAATTTTAGGCATATATATATTTCCCTAGAATATATTTTATAAAATAATTCTTGAATCATAATTTATAAGCTAGTTCTATTTTCTTTTATAAAATATTGTAAGAAGGAGTGATGTGGGCATCCACTTTAGTGCATATGTGAACATATAGCATTTTATTTAAACAACACAGTTATTTAAATATTTTATAGACGATGAATTTATGGACAACAAAGGCAGAGTAATCGGTCTATGATTGTGAGGCTAATCGCTGCCAATCTTTAGGAAGCCATACTTTGTATTATTTTTGAGGATTATTTGTGATATTTATACAAACTATTATTTTTTCAGAAGTTACACCATTGGGTATTAAAAAGAGATTAATTGAATGTTCTCTTGTTTTAAATGGTGGTTTCTTTATCTGCTTAAAACCCCTAAGGCCATAGCTCCCATACTTTTTAACTGTGTGCACAGTTTTGAGCTTTACTAATGTGTGTGTATATATATATTTATTTATAATGCATACATATATTATTTTCAACCCAAATATTAAATACTAGTGAGGACTAATACTTAATATGAAAATATGAAGTAGAGTTTTACTGTTTGAAATACTGCAGCGGCTAGCTGTATGGGCCCCTGCGACGGAGGAACCTCTGTGCATTATTCCGTTCGTCAGGCTTTTGACAGAAGAGTGAGATTATCTCGCCGTTTTCTTCTACCTTTTTCGCTTTATTCACCGGTTGAATGAACAGTGCCAGGCACTGGGCTGAGTGAGAGTTGAGACAGAATATGTTGGTGAGTCTTCACAGATTAACAAGGAGAGAACAAAGGTCACTAACAAAAATAACATCATCAATGTGACAGATAGACCTGAAACCCCAGTGGTTTGGAAAGACAGAGTTGTTTTCTCTCATGTAAACTGTGTTTCTACAGTAGCCGCTCCTGTGGTTGGGGGAAATGTTTAAGGCCCCCTGCGGATGCCTGAGAGCAGCAGCACCGAGCCCTGTATGTACTGGAGTATTTTTTCTATACACACAGACTTATGAGAAAGTTTAATTTTTAACGTAGGCAAAAGAAGAGAGTAACAATAACTAATAATAAGGTAGAGCAATTAGGACAGTCTACTGTAGTAAAAGTTACGTGAATGCGCTTTCTCTCTCTTTCTCTAAATACCTTCTTGTGCTGCGCTCACCGTTCCCCTTGGGGTGCTGTGAGGCGGAACAGCGCCGTGTGTGAGGCCACGTGAGGTGCTCAGAATGGCACACAGGTTGGAACTTATGAATTGCTTATTCCTTGAATTTTCAATTTGATACCTTTGGATTGTGGTTAGCTACAGACAGCTGAGCCCGCAGAAGGTGACACTGTGACCAGGGAGGGACCGCAGCACCTGGTCCGCTAGTGGCGCCCCCCGAGTTGTGTTTCAGACACGCATGCTGCTGCTTCCCTGTGTGTTTTCAGCGGCTACAGAGCTACCCTAGCAAGGGAGAGAGTCGACAATCACACGAGGGAGGATTTTATGGACTAGGCCCGGAATTGGCACATATTTCTCTCCGCAGTTACAGGACCGCACTTAACTGCGGGGGAGGCGGGAACGTTGTACAGCTGTGTGCCAAGAACGCAGAGAAGTGCGATAGTCCAGCAGTTAGGCTCTCTCGCCTTAACAAAGGCAGTCAAGAGACACGCTACACGCTAGAGATACGAGGCTGCAGCCAGGGCAACGCGGCGTACTGTTTTATAGCGCACTTTTTTTTAAAAATAAAGTAGAAACAGTGCACTCTAAAATAACAATACAAAGTACATTATAGTAAATACATAAACCAGTAACATAGTTGTTATTATCAAGAATTATGAACTGTATATACTTGTATGTATATACTTTTATACAGCTGGCAGCACAGTAAGTTTGTTTACATCACATCACCACAGACATGTGAGTAACATGTTGCCCTATGACCTTAGAATGGCTATGACATCATTAGAAGATAAGAATATTTCAGCTTCATCAAAATCTTATGGGACCAGTGTCATGTACATGGTCCATCATTGATTGAAATGTCATTATTTAGCACATGACTGTTATGTCATTTTTTAGTCTAATTATTTATCATTTTTAATCATTTCATCATATAATTAGGAAGAAGATAACTTACAGCATCGTATAATAATCTATTTTTGTAGTTCAAACCGGCTTTGGATTTGGGATATTTTCATCTATATTCAAGATATCGTAATGTAGATTTAGTTGCCTCCTCCATTACATTTGCCTATTAGATCAGAAAGGTAGCATACATATTTTAATGACAGTTATTTTTGTTTTTTTTACTTTGACTGTGTAGTAACATGGTATTTGTAGATGTGGCTGATTTTTTTTCTCATTAAGCTTTGTAGAGGAAACATAAAGGAATGAGCAAATAGATACAGATATAGGTACATCTACATCCATGATATACTCATGGACAATAGATAGTATTACGTATCCTGATTACGTTTCTTCCTTTAGAATTAAGACACTCCTGGAGGAACTACAGAAATTATTTTTAATACTTTCTTTGGAATCAAAACTTAAAAGAAATTCTAGAAATGGAAGGTACCTTAATGCCTACCTAAGTTCAACGTCTCACCAACAGCACAAATTCACCCGGAGTCAACTCCAACACACTCCGCCTGATCTTAGGGACAATAAGTTTACTGTTTCCCAAGGGAACACATTACTGTTAGAATTTTATTTCTTAATTTGAACCAAATATTCTTTCTCATAAAATTCCTGCATTCAGTTCAATTTTGCTCATACAGTGGATGAGACTCCTCATAAACTTTAAGATGACAGCTTTTTGAATAGTTTGATGTGGGTACATGGATTTTTTTATTTAAGATTTTTCCAGGTCTTGTCATTTGTTGTGTATGAGGGTATTTCAAGGCTAATCACCTTCCTGATACTCATACGGGAAGGCCCTTAATACCTATCTATCCTCTTGCAATTTGACTCAGGCCATTCCAAAACGAGGATAACCTTTCCCAGGAAATAAGCAACTAGAAGATCAATTCCAGTCTTCTGTGTTTTATAATTATGAAGGTCCAGTCAAAGGAAACATTACTTATTATGTTTTATCCCAATTTTGACTATATTCGTATATTATTCCAGACTTGTATTTTATGAAACATTATAATCTTATAAAATGACTCCACATACATTATATCCTTTAACTTTCTACAACACTAAAGGTAATCTGGGTTTAAATATTTGCCCTTTAAAGTATGTGGAAATTAAATTCAGTAAGTTTAATGTGTTAAGGGCTATCATATAGCAAGACATTGGAAGAGTCAAGACCAGAACCACATTTCTTTCCCTGTAACTAAATATCATTATGAAGAGTAAGTTAAGGGTACTTTAGCAGTGACTGGAACCTTGTCTTATTATTATATGTTAACATACATACAGACATATGTGTATACCACCCCCCCACACTGATACATATTGAAGCAAGTGTTGTATAGCTAGAAGGGACATGAGTGTGGTGATTACTTGGAGGAAGCAGTAAGAACATTGGCCTGTGTATTGAATCCTGAGTTCTCTTAATAAACAATCGAGCCCAGGACATTGCTATAAAATCTCAGTTATAGAGCACAGAGTCTCCAAATGTACCTTGACCTTTGAAATTATATGTCACCACTGTGAACGTTATTTTTACTTATTTGAAAATGCTTTCACAAAGAATTCACATTGCTATGGGGATGAAGAATTGCCAACCTTTCTTGCTTTTACAAATATATAATGGCAGTAGGTATGTGAAATATCAAAACATTTCATTGGATGTGAAAATAAAGTAATCTTGGTATATTTTCAAAAGTTCTCTTTTATATTGTGCAGCTTAATCTGCCCAGTGCTCCACTTCATCCGTATCTAACAAGCATGTTAAAAAATATATCAGAGAAGTTTTTACTTTTGGTATTTTGCATTATGTGATTATTAAGTCTTAGTAATTATTCAGGTCATGTTATATATCTAAATTTGAAAGACAATGTGCAGCATTGAGTTAATGAATTAAAATAGGTAGTTTCTTTAGTGTAGTGTATGGTTTGTAAGTAAGCAGCAAAGATTCGATGATTGTATTATTAAGCCGGTATATAAATAATACAGCTGAGAATCAAATCCAACATGAGTTTATTTATTCAGTTCATTATCTGTGTTTTTATGTATGTGTGCACCTGTGTGTCTTACAGCTGTTATTTCAAGAAACCAAGAAGGGCCAGGAGAAATGGGAAAGGCTGTGCTGATTCCTAAAGATGACCAGGAGAAAATGAAAGAACTGTTTAAAATCAATCAGTTTAACCTTATGGCCAGTGATTTGATTGCCCTTAACAGAAGTCTGCCGGATGTCAGATTAGAAGGGTGAGTTTACATGTGTTATATAATCTTGTATATTTCAGAATATCTTAGAACTTCAGTTAACTCAGATTATTTCAGTTCTAGAAGTATGTAGTTCTGAGTTACTATGCCATAGCAAGAATTTACTGTGCATGCATATGATGAGAAATATGAACTATTTTCCTTTCTGGCAGAGCAAAATATGTTATTTGAAAAAAAAAAAATTGCAGAATACACAGCCTAACAGGTTTTTGTTCATGAGATGTTTTTGTTTTCTTTTTGTTTGCTTTATCTTGCTAAATACAGAGCAAACATGGTCTTTAATAGATTATTTTCTTGCCAGCATGCAAAGCTCTTACACTTTGGTGTGAAAAGCTATATGCTTTGCTATTCCCGGCATGGTAGCCAATTGCTAGTATGGTTTTTTGACCCTTTAAAAATGATTTATTATGGGCTCCAGAAATTTATGCTGCTGTTTATAATTAAAATGCTCAGTTATTGACCATGGAGAAAATAATCACTTGGAAACAATACTGCATGAAAAATTAAGTTGAAAATTTCAACTGGTATGTGATTAACTGTTATCCATGCTTAGTTGAAGAAATTTTAAATGAATTCATAAAATTAGATATTTATTTGCAGTGTTGTCATTCTAGTCTATAACCCTTATAAAACAAATTCTTGGAACTCAGAAAGTTATACCCTGAGATTTTAGAAAATTTCTAAGTTTACAGGTATGCTCCAGAACACAGTTCTACGTAATTAGGAGTGTTCTTTTTCAGCATGTAATGACTTTTTCTATATACTACAAAATCACAGTTAATGCAAATAAAGTTTGTCACATACAATTGGTTATATTACTTTAGTAGTGTAGGGATGTTAACATCAAAACACTAAATTGAAATTTTCCTCCATTCTGAATTACCTCAAATGAGCCCAAAGTACAGTAACGGAAACCTTATTGAGATGCTGGGCTGAGTTGTCAGAAGGTTCTTTTGGTAGCTGAAGGACTGATTTTGTATACTCTTGTATGCTTTTGCAATCTCTCTTGACAAAACAACAAATAACTATAGATTATGGATGTTTTTGGTCCCCAGCAAATGGTTAAAACATCAAATATTACATTTGTGCTTTCCAAAGGGCTAAATAATTTTATAAGTAGTTTTGTTCATGTTTGTATATGTTTAAACTTTGCATTTTTAAAAGCACAAAAAGCATATTCTGCTGATTAACTTGAGTATTTTATATGCTAAGCTTATAATGTTAAAATGTTGCATTTATTATTTTGTTTTATACACCATGGTGTGATAAAATGGGTAAATGTGATACTTAGGCATTCAGAGAGACCATGTAACACTAGTTCAAATTTAAAAAATCTTTATTTTCAATTATCAAAACATAAATTAATTTTTATATCAGATCCGGGGTGTTTAAGGTAAGAATCATTTTAGTATAGAGCCATTGCTTCAAAAGGAAGTAAAATCTTCATTGAGAATCCATTGAAAATACTTGTGGCCTGTGCTATATCTTCTTTTAAACATCACTTAACATATTAAGTACTTGAATTATTAAGCCTTAAACCATAGAACAATTCAACATTTTTTAAATGGAGGATGCAAATTGCTTAGTATCAAAAAGTTCATGAGATGCCATACTCTGTATAACATGGTTTAAAGTTGAAGATTGTGCATAGTCTGTGAAGTAATATTAGTGAAATAAATAATTTTCCATTTCATTTTTATATCACACCACAGAGTATACTATCAGTAAAAAAACCAACAAAAACAAAACAAAGGTACCATCCAATTTCCTAGACAAATCATGAAGGGTATGTGAGGTCATCTTGAGTGACTCAACTGTGTGACTGCCTGGGAACAAATGTTGAAAAACACACCATGAATCAGATAATCAAACTGTTATTTAAAAGATGTCAAAATCTATTAATACTCATTTGATGTAGAAAACAGGATGTGTTTTTTCAATTTTGGTTTTAGTTACAGTTTTATTTTTTAATATTTGTAACTTAAAAGGATGGGGACACATAAAGATAGTGTTAACTGAACTAAATTTATGCAATATAGAAGTATGGGATTTATAAATAATTAGGTTTAGAAAGCTTATTTAGTGGAAAACTTGAATTGATATTTATTTAGAAAAGTGTCTGCACTGCTCAAACAGTAAATTCATTAAAATATCTCTGCATTTTACTAGATATACCCTTAAGCTGGCTCAACTGAATGCAGAAAATTGTCCGAATAGTTTAATGTTGCAATTGGCTTTAACATAAATCTACAAATATTTGGAGATGTGTTCAGAAGAATGATTCTATGCAAAACTTCATGTTTTCACAGAGAAGAGGCAAGATAAAAATAGTTTTTATTGGAGGCAATTGTGATGAGACATCAGGACAAGTCAAGTTAATTTCTGGAATATCCATCCTTATGGATGTTTAAGTACTTATATTATTTTATTCACATAATATATTTAATTTATTAATATTTGTAATACATTTATATGTAATCTTTAATTATTTGAGGGACATGAAATAATTATATCACAAATAATCATGATACTTGGATATGTTAGGTATAATCAAAAATGAAGTCTGTACTAAATTTCTTTTTTTCTTGAAGGCCCTCAGTTTCTGAGATACTTGTTGAAGTCTGTATATATGTATAAGTAAAATTCCAGACAGATATAGTCAATCCTTTCTCTCCTTTGCCCATCCTCCATAAATTTAAAACAATTGCAATGTCATAAAATTTTGATTCAGAATTTTGAGAAAACGCATTATTGAACTGGTGACGGAATGAGACTTCACTTTGGGTGGTGAACACAAAATATGATATACAGATGATGTATTTTAGAGTTGTACATTTGAAACCTATATAATTCTGTTAACCAGCCACCCCAATAAATGCAATAAAATATTTTTAAAATTAAAAATAAAAGCATTGTTAACTTGATGTGTTGATGAATCAGCATTAGGGATTGTTAACATATTTCTCATCAATTATGAGTTTAAGTTTTATAAATTTACACAGTTTGGATTTAAAAATAAAGCTAAATATTTGTTTTCAGAAAACATGTAAATATATATAATTTTTATTGTTGTTAACATAAGATTTTTGTGTTACTATTGAGAGAGAGAGAAATTAGAATTACTAAACTAATGAAACCTGTTAAAAGATATTAAACACATTATTTTTGAGCACATAATATGCTAATATGTGCCAAATACTGTTCTATGTGCTGGGGACACAGCAGTGAACAAAATTAAGTTCCTGCTTCATGAAACTTAGAAAATTTTAAGGAATGAAGAAAGTAAGGGATAGAGATTAGAGTAGTGAACAAAAACCTTTTTGAGAAACTCACATATGATTAAGTTGAGTGGATCTTCAGCACCCGAATATTATAATTTCTTTTTGCTAATGCACAGAGCTGTTAAATGATTACTGGGTTCCTGGAACAGACAACGCTAGAAATAGAATACATCTATGGATATATAGAACTATAAGTACAGCAAAACAACAGAACAAACATTAAGTAAATGCATAGATGATTGCATGTGTGTGTGTGTGTGTGTGTGCGCGCGCGCATGTGCGCCTGTGTATTATTTTTAAAGAAAGTGTTTAAATTTCATTTTCATGAAAGTCAGCAAAAATCACATTTTGGTTTGCTAAGGTTTCTGTAGCCAATGTTTTCCCATGTTCTAGGCTTTCCTTGAAGTACAGAAAGGAATATAATTATGATCATAATCAATGAGGTAGGTACATGACTCTATTCTACTATATGAAAAACAAGGGGAACAAAAAGCCAACTCTTGAGATTTTTTTTCAGGTAATTAGGTGGAAAATCTTTAGATATGGAACCAAAACATATAGGTTGAATATCTATGGCTTACTATTGGATCTTGGGTAAGTCATTAATTTTCTAAGCCTTAGTTTCCTTTCACTGATTAAACCAACTAGTCATTTAGTCAACCAATCAACCAATCTTTGTCATTTACCTAACACAGGCTTAGTTAACTTTGAGAATAAAAATAAATGGATATATCAGGTCCTGTTCGTGAAGATATAAGGAATATATTTACTTAATATAACTATAGTATCCATACGAACAAGCAATAATTGCGAAATTGACAAAGTAAGAAAGATTGGACTGAGTTCCTGGTGAAATTGTTATATTTATTATTATTATTCTGTGGAATTTTCTTATGCCTTAGGCTCCTTTTTTGGACTAAGCATGGTACCTTTAAGCAATCAGCTTCTCCCTTTACTCTGCAATTCTTTTGAAATAAGAAATTAGAAGTAATTATTGAGTGAATATTTATTTTGAAAAAGCTATGGGCAATTAAAAAGTAAAGCACAATGTGTAAGGTTGTTTAGCATTTACTTGTATCCAGACATTTACTAACACTTCAAGCTCTGGTGTTGAGTTATTTGAAGGTTATAATGCAGCTGGCATTTAAATGTATTTCATCAGGGAAAATGAGGAAATCGGAAATTTATTTTAGCTATTTATATTGTAGCTCAAATAACTGCTTCTTACATATGCTCACTTGCAAGCTGATAAGGAGAAAAAACACTAGCAGTCTTGCATTATTAGTGGAAGAAGAGCAGTAGCATACAAATTCTGAATAAGTTTTCCTAAAAAAAACACAGGTTTATTTACTACATAAACCATAGAATATATTTTTCAGTGCTCAATTTCATAAATGTAGCTGTTCATTTATGTGGATTGCCTTTCTCATGATTAAAATACAATAAATGTAACGTTGATTGCAAAAAGGAGATAGAAAATGAGAATATTAATTGGATTTCTGATATCTTTCCCACATCTTTTCTTTTTAATTTGAGAATTGCTACAACTTTCATATGCTGACAAAAATTTTGCCTGTGAAGATAATTTCTATAATACTTTGATGTATGTAATATGCTCATCTATGGAATTAATTTTACTACTCAAATTGAAAATGGTGTGTCAAAATGTCTGTACATGTGTGTTTGTGTGTGTATATATAT